CTCTTAGTCAGGCTAACGGAAGTGTTAGCCAGTATATGGGAATCAAATACGATCCCCTCCGACTGGTCTAAGTCACTGATCATCCCAGTCTTCAAGAAAGGCGAGAAGTCCTCTTGTGATAACCACAGAGGAATCAGCCTGACAAACATAGTGTCTAAGATCCTAAGTTCTATAATTCTCCGACGCCTGAGTGGAGCTCGGGAACAGCAAGCCCGAGAAAACCAGGCAGGCTTTAGACCTGGCCGTGGATGTATCGACCAAATATTCACACTGCGCCAGGTCCTGGAACATAGGCATGCTTACAGACGCCCGACAATAGCTGTATTTCTCGACCTGAAGGCGGCATTTGACTCCGTTGATCGAGAAGTCTTATGGCAGTGTGTCACTGAAAGGCGTGCCTAGTAAGTACATCACCTTATTGAAAGCTCTCTACTCGAACACTTGTGGGCATGTTAGAGCCTATGGTGAGTTGTCCAGGGAGCTATACTCATCAAGTGGTGTCCGTCAAGGATGCCCACTATCCCCATTCTTATTTAATTTTATCATAGATATTCTTATGGAGGTTTCCCTCTCGTCACCTAATTACAAAGACGTTGACCCGATCACAGGTGAATTTTCCTTAGATCTAGAATATGCAGATGACATAGTCCTGTTAGGTGAAGACGCTGACAAGATGCAGAGTCTTCTGAACACTTTGAGTGGGAATTTGAGAATGTTTGGGATGCGATTTTCACCACCCAAATGCAAATTTTTGCTCCAGGACTGGTCTTCAGCGGTACCGCGGTTAACAATAGAGAGTGAAGTGGTTGAGTGTGTTGACCACTTCACTTACCTGGGAAGTAGGATCAACCCGGTGGGTTAGTTGCCGATGAGATTTCTGCACGGATACAAAAGGCTCGATTGGCTTTTGCCAATTTGCGCCACCTATGGCGCCGCCGTGATATTCGTTTGTCTATTAAGGGTCGCGTGTACTGCACAGCAGTCCGCTCTGTTCTACTGTATGGCTGTGAAACATGGCCATTGAAAGTGGAGGATACAAAAAGGCTTCAGGTGTTTGACCACCGTTGCCTTCGTAGTATAGGACGTATTCCGTGGTGTCACCATGTGAGTAATGCAGAAGTTAGGTGTAGAGTTTTAGGGAGAAGAGGTAAGTCAGTTGACGAGGTTGTGAACCTTCATCGACTGAGATGGTTGGGACACGTACTACGTATGCCTAGTCACCGATTGCCTCGTCACACAATGTTGGCTGAGGTAGGCCCAGGCTGGAAAAAGGCCCGAGGTGGCCAGACTAAAACATGGCACCAATGCATGAAGTCTCTGACTGTTGGTTTGAGCCATGTAGGGTGATGCAGACTAGGCGGTTGAGGAACCAGTGGCTAGAGACTCAAGGGGATATGGCTCAGAACCGATGTAAGTGGAGCAGATGTATACACACATTATCCTCATCTTAACTACGCCATATCGAATCTCACCATTTTGTCGCTCCTCTTTCCTTTCTTCTTGTACTTTATATTTCTTTTGGCTGCATTCATTTATCTTCACCCTTCACCTCACTACCTTTCTACTTGATGAATTGACGTGAGGTGTGGCAACTCGGACCGTTACGCAGTAATGCCTGGTCCTATGTTGATAATCATTGATTCATTCATTCATTCATCGACTTTGAAGAGGCTTTCGATAGCGTCGAACTAAAAATTATTTGGCAGCTGCTCCAACACTACTACCGAGTGCCACAAACCTTTATCAACCTCATTCAACAACTATATGAAGACGCCACATGACAAGTAATTCACAATGGGAAGCTCAGTGATGCTTTTGAAGTGAAGACACGAGTAAGACAAGGTTGTCGCCCACTATCACCCATGATATTCCTCATTGTGGTCGACTGGATCAAGCAGCAAACCGTGAGCAGCGAGAAGAGGGGCATACGCTGGCTGAACCGATGAAAAGACCCTACGAGATTTGGATTTCGCCAACCATGATGATTTGTGTCTAATGTCTTGTCGCACAAACTCGAAGATATACAGGCAAAAACTGACAAGTTGACAGAAGAGGCTAGGCAGAGCAGCGAAGACGAGACTTCAAGTGAATGTAGAGGAGACAGAGTTGATGAAGTTACCCAACAAACAACAACAACAAAAACCAATCACCATCAACGGGAGGAACTTAAAGGAAATAGTCTCTTCCACCCACCTATGTTGAGCAGCATCCTACCAACTACAGGCGGCAAAGATGAGGACGTCAAAGCCAGTCAGGATCGGAAAGACAGCAAGACAGGCCTTCATTAACCTGAAACCAGTGTGGAGATCTCCCGCACTCAGCATAAAGCATGAACAACATCCAGATTTTCAACACAAATTCAGTCATGTCAGTGCTTCTATGTGATGGTTGACAGACTTGGCAGCGCGTCACGGAAAGCATTTCCAACAAACTACAGACATACATCACATCAACAGCTGCCGTCTACACTCACTCGATACTAACACTGAAGATCAGATGGCCAGAATGATAAGAATAAGCAACAATAAAGTCACTCCGGCTGGTAACGAACCAACCAAGAACCTATCGCCCATCAAATATGCAGAAGAAAGTGGAGATGGATTGGACATACACTGAGAAGACCAAGTGGGGACATCATGTTTCAGGCCAGGCCCTCGAGTTGAACCCAAAGGGAAGACGGCGAGTTGGGCGTCCGAGTCAAGCGTGACATGGAGGAGATCATGTGAGGAAGAAATGAAAGCTACTGGGCAGTCTTGGAGCCCGGTTAAAATGACTGCAGAGAATAGAGTGCAATGGAGACGTGCTACTGAAGCCCTGTTTCACTAGGAACCTAAGGGACAAATAGTAATAATAAAGATAATAATAATGTCATTTCTATTCCGTAGTCTTTCCAATGCACTGAAATGCTGAGAAGTCAGGATGCTTATCTGATGAAATCAGAGTTACCGATATCATGAGTGACATCAACAAATTTAGCTTTCAGCCAGCTTTAATTTTCAGATGAAGTTGGAATCAGTGAACTCAATTGATCATAAAGATATTTTAACTGAGCATGAATCGTCAACTTAGAAATTTTTGTATGTGGAACAGAAAAATTAAATCTAAGAGAAATAGCTTCTTTATCGGTAATCAACACCTGAATAGATGACAGATTAGTTATATATTCATCCGAAGTTATCGGAAAATGGTTCACGCACATGACCAGATTGCTCGAAATACATTGCACGAGGTCCCTATTTTTTGATTAATTGTGTGTATTATAGTATACTTGTAGTTGAAAGAGAGAGCCAAAAAAGTTATGAACTGATTCTACTTAGCACTGCTGCTTTTTCATACACTGATGAAATGGATCAAAGAGAGAAGTTACCTGGTATTGTTTCTTGGCATTTTTACCACAAAATGCGGTCATACAGGTCCTTGGCTAGATCACCATACATTTTTGTTTAGATGTCAAATTGCAGAACTAACTCACTAAGGTATAAGTAAAGTTAGGTTTAGAAATTCCATTCCATTCTATTCAATATTCTGCTATCCAAGTACTCAAACAGAACATTACAAAAACATTTAAACTGTTTTAACGCATATGTTAATGTGACTAGACAATCTTCCTCTTTAAGATAGTTAAGGTTTCCTTCCAACGAATTTCACCGCACCAACAATTTGTAATCACTTCATGGTGACATCCATCTATCTGTCATGTACATCACAAGGAAATAAGCCTCGAAAAGCATCGTAATGTCTTCTCGACTGCATTCTAACAGTGGTCCGACACACATTTTATATAAAATCAGGTGTGTTATGACACAAACTGTCACACAAATAGACAAAATCAACGTAGAACCTCACACACAAGTGCATCAATTCAAGTCGCCACAATTCACGGCAGTATACAAAGAACAAGTCTCTAGGAAACAACTCCTACCTGTCAAAGTAGACAAAGTTGTGTGACAGAATAAGCACTTTGAAAACAAAGGCTAGTGCAAATATTCAAACTACAGAAGACATCAAAGAGTGAATACATCTGTGCGACCATCACCAGTTTTCGGCCACTTTCTCAACCACTAATTTCTGTCATCTCGGGGACCTCAGTCAAAATGGTCAGCATCTATCAACACGGCTCAGACCAACAGTCATGGATTTCATCGACTGATGTTGCATCTTAGTCTGACCTCCCTCAACCCTCTTCCAATTTAATCCAATTTCCCCCAACGTGGTAAGTTGAGGTAGAGACAGTGGCTCGGCATGACTAATACATTTTCAAGGGATCTCAGTCATTGATGGTTAAAACAAACATCACTAACAGAGTTGTCTGTCTCGCGCAGTACTTTTCGTCTGACCTTGACATTTATCATAGGGTGATTCAACCAAACCTGTGGTCGAAATCTTCCCTTATGTCTACTGATGTTAACGGTCATGTCTGAGTTGTATAACAGGACAGAACAAACTGTAGCACAGTAAACTCACCCTTGGATACATAATTCGATATCTAGTCGACGCCGAAGATGACACAGGTTGGCAAATGCGAAACGGGTTGTCGGTATCTGAGATAAGATTTCGTCAGCAACTAACAAACTGTGTCAGTATCTGCTAAAAATACACTTTGATAACACCTTTCTTAAACAGATTTAACAGATCTAAATTCAGCAGTAGAGAAAAATCATATTCGTATCCAACGCGTACGTAAAAAAGTTGAAAAGAATGATAAGTTTTAATCAAACATTTTTCCCTTTAATTGTTTTTAACTACTCTAATGTGTCACTATATATCTAGTTTAAAAAATTTTCGTTTCCTACACCGTAGCTATCTTGAAGTTTGCCGATCTTTAGAACCATTTCGAAATAAATACACGATTCCAGGAAACCTTGTTCACTGTTGCCAAAGTATTAGACATCTATTTACTTACTTACTAAAGTGTAATCAAACTGAAGTCACCAAAGAGGATAAAAAGACTCAGGATAGTATGAATAAGAAAACAAATGTAAATTCTTTACAATGACTACCTGAAGCGCCTCAACCTCTCTTTGCTTAACCGAAGCTTTGATTCCAGGTGGCTGATCATTTGAAGTTGGAGCATACCTTCCATCAATTCGGTCAAATTTTCCAAGTAGTCTTCTGTATAAAGGATGTCGATGTAAGTTCACATCATCTAAAGGTATGACACGACGAACAATAGTTCGTTCCTCCGCACGATAGAGGGCAACAATAAGATTTTCAGCTGTCTCACGTACCTTTAATATTAATGACAAAAGTAGGAAATATGATGCAGTCAGTAGGATTCTTTAAGACACTTCTTCTATTCACAAAATAACTAAGAGAGTATTAATTAGAAGCTTTAGGTATGCGCATTATAACACAAAAAAATAGTGACTACCTAGTTCATATATTTTTTAAGGATGAACTTTAAAGAGAACTAAAGTTGTGATAAGAAACTATATCAGGAAAAAAACTCACTTCATTTGATCGATGATCTAAACACTTCGCTGTGAACATAGTTAAAGCGTCTAAAGTGAAACCTCCTTGATTCCCGTGTCCATATTCATTGAAAATAGGATCAACACCTCGAATGGCATATAACTCTGTCACCAATTCAATTCGACTTAACGCCAATCGATCTAAAGTTATAGGAGGAAATGGTCGAACTAATTCACTCCAAAATGTTGTATATTGTTTCATCTACAGTAAGAAGAAGAAGAAGGAAATATTTGACAAAAATGATGCTCCACTTAAAAGTTATATTTATTTCTTGTTGTACAAATACGTCAGCGTAATTTGTAGAAGCTTAGAGGCAACCTTTCATAGATAACAAGACATAAAAAACATTCTGTTTTGGTCAACTTCATAAAACCTATTGGTAGGGTAAACTGCATTATCATTCATAGTCAGCGAAATAAAACTGGCATTCGCATGATACACTTGTGAATCATGAATTTTATCACATCTTGAGCAAGAATAATAACTTGGATAAGTTGTGGCTTACACAGTGAAACCTTCAGAAACAATCTTGTTTTCAATTTTTTTAACACGTTCAGTTAATAGTAAAATATTCTTACGTAGCAATAACAAACAGAAATTAATGATAGATATTCGCTAGCAGTGGAATCCAGGACGCGCGTTTCATCTTATTTATGACTCCCCAGCTGGACGTGTCTGCCTGTCACTGAGTGTGATGTCACTCCCACTAAGACTCGAACCCAGGACCAATAGCTTCAGACACCAGAACGTTATCCACTAGGCTACTGATTCTCAATAATCAAGATTCACAGGCTATAATATGAAAAAACATGAAAATTAGGAAGCCTAACACTTACAGTAAATTTGTAGATAGACACCCAGTAAAAATAAATAATTATAACATAGGGTGCATAAAAAGTAGTCTACTGGCCTTGAAATAAGTCGAAAGTGTTGCCTTTACTGACAATAGGAGTTTAGTAAGCATCATACTTCACTGCATATGTGGTATGGTTGACAAAAATACAAAATTCGGTTCAGTCAACGACCGAAATCTTCAAGTTATAACGCCGAACTATACCTGTAGCACAAACAAGCAGTGGGTATCATGACTCGGTGGATAACACGCTCTGATATTTGAAGCGATGGATGCTGGATTCAATTTTCAGTGAGAAAAACATCAACCACTGGAAAACACACACGTTCAGCTGGTGAGTCCTACAAAACAGGACAAAATGCGCGTCCTATATTCCACTGTTAGCTTTTATTCATCATTAAATAGCAAAGATAATATATATTGAATCCATTTTTCGCTATACTAGTCACACTATACTGATAATGAATTTCATATGGATCATTAAAAATTACCAGATAGGAAATACATTTTTCAGATGTAATGAATGATTTAAAAAGGTCATCTAGGCAACTCGATTTGGAAAGCATAGTTATACTAACGTACCCATGTGCTTTTCAAGCAAAACTGTTTTCTCAACCAAAGCAATGACAACTAACTAGATGTTATCGTTCGAGTATGTTAAATGATACCGTTTGAACTGACTTATTAACACGAACGAAAGATCTCACAGTAATCGCAGATATAGTTGATAAGTTACCGTGACTGCTGACTAACAAATCCAACGTAGAACCTCACACACAAGTACACCGGCTCAAGTTGCCACACTTCACAGTAGTACAGAACAGAACAAGTGGATTAAGAAAGAGTGATATCAAAGAAGATAAAGTAGTGTGAGAAAATCAACAATCTGAAGATAAATAAAGATTAGTGCGAATATTCAAGCTTTAGATGTCAAGGAGTGAATACATTTGCACCATTGTCATCGATTTTCAGCCATGTCACCAGGAGTCAGTCCTCAACCACTTATTCCTTTCGTTTCAAGGACCCTAAACAAGCAATCTACATCTCCCCATACGACTCAGACTAACATTAAGAGACTTCATGGACTGGTACCAGGTTTTGGTTTGTCCACACTGAACCCTCTTCCAACTTCCTCTAGCATGGCACATCAAGGCAGGTGGTGACTCGACATACTCAGCATATGTCCAAGCCACCACAGTAAATGAAGGCCCACAATCTCATCGATCGACTTGGTTATCTTGTTCAACACCTGTTGCTTGACCTCAACTTTGATCACACGGTGAGCCCATCAAACCCAAGCAATGTAACGAAGACATTTATGACCAAACACCTGTAACTGTTTCATATCTTCTAATTTTAACGATGTAAAATTCAGTAACTTGGCGAGGACTTCAATTTTTCTCGACAAAATAGTGAAAAGTGGGATAGATTTTGTCGTCGTTCGCGAAATAATTAGAAAAAATTGTCATTTACATTGGTATCTCTACTCTAAATTAGGACAGATCATGAATTTCTGGAGCTTTTAATGCAGCATACTTCCTTCTCGACACACTTGTGGATGTATACTCTAACAAAACTCACCGCATTTATGATAAAGTAATAAACAATCTTCACTTCAATTTTGAAAAAGTCATCTTAGACGCATTCTGCTATTTTAGATAAGAATATGAGAATGTCATACCAGACAAAACTCGGATTTGCCACAGATTATTAAGAATTGGTTAGTTTTTTAGTGATCTTTATAGTGTTCTTGTTTGACCATTTTTTTTATCTGAAGAATAGTTGAGATTCGTTCCATCTTCCTTAAATCTTTTGAATATATGTGAGAAGACTTACATCATTAAAATATACATACCTAAGTCACTCACTGAATCAATAGATTTTTCTCCTGATATTTATTCGACATCACTGCGGTGAAGTTAATGACAATTAACATAGTCATAAGTGAGTATCTACATGGTTGCTTAAGTTAAGTAAGCATGTTTAAGATACTTAGAATTCGCTGATATAATGATATCAACATCATACAGATAAGCAAAACAATCTCAGTGATATAATTGTTTAGTGATGCACGTAACGATTGTCGGCTTGACTACTTGATTCTCAGGGTATGGATCTAGGGTCATGATCCTGCTTTAGCCACTTTGATGTATTTAGCCGCGTAATATTATAAGACCTCATAAAATAAGTGTGATTCAGCATTGCATTACTATTAAATAGCACTATGATAACACATAACCTCGCCAGGTTAACTAGTTCACTAGTTACTAGCCGGTCCTGAGCCGGGGTAAAGAGAGAAGGTTGAGCATACGGCTAGCAACCCTACCCCGGAAAACCAATCCAATCCTTAAAGAAACTTCAAAACACAAACAAAATATAAAAATAAACTGATTCCTCCCTGGAATCGGAGAGACGAAAGGACGCCGGTTGGTGAAAGCCTTCGGGAAGCCAACTGGCCGATGTGTCTCCACTCTCTCAATGAAAGCGAAAGTAAACGTGGAGACACGGAATGTCTGCGTCATAATTGAACCTAGCAAGGCTGCTCAGATTGTAAAGGAGATGAGAAAGTATCACATTGAAGTGTTTGGAATTTACGAAAGCAAGTGGAATGGAAGTGGACCCTCCAAACTGTCAACTGGAGAGTTAATAATCTACTCCGATACTCTCACCCGAACGACGACCACGAGCACACTGAGTTATGGAGTGGCCATCATGCTGTCCCCAACAGCATCAAAAACTCTCATGTAGTGAGAACTAATCTCCTCCACAATCATAACAGCAAGATACAACGCAAAAGGAAGGAAAGTCACAATCATACAATCCCATCAATACGCACCTACAAATAATGCAGAGCAAGAGAAAAAGGAGGAATTCTACACACAACTGCAATCAACACTCGACAACACCCCACCCCAGTTGCCGACATCAAAATTCTAATAAACGATATAAATGCCAAAATGGGAACAGACAACACAGAAAGAGAATCAATCACAGGTCGAGAAACACTCAGCGAAATGAATGAGAATGGAGAACTCTTTGCAGACTTCTGCCCATTAAACGATTTAGTGATTGGAAGCAGTGTGTACAAACACAAAGATATTCACAAAGCGACATGTACTTCATCAGACATCAGACACATTACACTAAAAACCAGATCGACTTCACCTCAATCCCAAAGTAAGTGGAAATGGAGACGCAGCCAGCCTACTGCACACAAGATCAAGAAGAGGAGCAGATGTAGGTCCACACCACTCACTGTCTAGTGCAAGGAACCTTCCAAATCAAGTTGAAAACCTTCAAGAAAGTTGGTGATAGACCACAGTTCAAGTTCAACACCTGGGAACTGAAAGACGAAGCTACAAAGGAAATCTTCACGTCAGTCATAAAGACAAAATGCGAGATATCGAGGAACATCCTTGAAGAAACCTGTGCAGAAGAACACTGGAAGTCTTTGAAAAAGATGTGGAAAGAAACCTGCATAGCCGTATTAGGAAGGAAGAAAAAAGAAGATAAGGAATGGATCTCGACGGATACCTGGAAGCCGATAGAGGAGAGGAGGATGGCGAAGCAGAAGATAAAACCAGTGCAAGGATGCTCAACGACAAGAGGAACTGAGCACAATGTATAAAACACTGGACAAAGAAGTGAAGGAGAGTGCACGCAAAGACAAAAGACACTTCCACAAAACACTGGCAAGTGAAGCAAAACAGGCTGCCGGCTGGAAAGAGAGACCTGACAACATTGTATCAAATAACCAGGTTGCTATCTGGGAGGAGATCAACGCAGACGAAGCCAATAAAAGATGATGACGGAAATTTAATTACGAAAGAAGAGAAACAAAGGAAACGATGGGCCGACTACTTCAAAAAGCTCTTGAATCGACCACCACCTACACTTCGTCCAGAAATACCACCTGCAGCCGCTGAACTACAAGTGAACACAAATCCTCCAACAAAACTCAAAGTCCTGAACGCCATAAAGCTACTGAAATGTGGGAAAGCAGCAGGACCAGATGGAATACCGCCAGAAGCACTGGAAACAGACGCAGAGACAACAGCCGACATGCTCACACCACTATTGCTGAAGGTCTCGAAGGAAGGGAAGGTACCAGCAGATTGGAAGAAGGGCTACCTTGTCAAACTCCCGGAGAAGGGAGACCTCAGTGTTTGCAAGAGCTGGCGCGGAATCACTCTCCTGTCCACCCCAAGCAAAATATTAAGCCGCATCATCCTGGAAAGGCTAAAGGATGCACTGGATTCAAAACTACGACCGGAACAGGCAGGCTTCAGGGAGTACAAATCATGTGCAGACCAAATTTCAACGCTACACTTCGCATCATCACAGAACAGAGTATAGAATGACAGTCAACTCTACACCTCAACTTTATCGACTTTGAGAAGGCCTTTGACAGCGTCGACCGACAAGTAATTCGGAAACTGCTTCAATACTACAGAATAACACAAACCTTTATCAGCCTCATTCAACAACTATATGAAGACGCCACATGCCAAGTAATTCACAATGGGAAGCTCAGTGATGCTTTTGAAGTCAAGACAAGAGTGAAACAAGGTTGCCTACTATCCCCCATAATATTCCTGATAGTGGTCGACTGGATCATGCAGCAAACAGTGAGGAGCGAGAAGAGGGGGATACACTGGACTGCGGAAAAGAACCTAGAAGATCTGGATTTCGCCGATGACTTGTGTCTGATTTCACATAAACTTGAAGATGTACAGGTAAAAACCAACAAGTTGACAGAAGAGGCTAGGCAGGGCAGCGAAGACGAGACTTCAAGTGAATGTAGAGAAGACAGAGGTGATGAACATGCCCAACCAACACCACCAACAACAGAAACAGCAATCTCCAATCACCATCAACGGGAGAAACTTGAGCAGCATCCTTTCAACTACAGGCGGCACTGACGAGGATGTCAAAGCCAGTCAGGATCGGAAAGACAGCAAGACAGGCCTTCATTAACCTGAGACCAATGTGGAGATTTTCTGCACTCAGCATGTGGAACGACATCCGGATTTTCAACACCAACGTCAAGTCAGTGCTTCTGTATGGTTCAGAGACTTGACGCGTTACGAAAGACATTTCCAACAAACTACAAACATTCATCAACAACTGCCTACGCTGGCTCGTTACTGAAGCTCAGATGGCCAGAAAGAATGAGCAGTAAGGAACTCTGGCAACGAACCAACCAAGAACCTATCGCTCAACGAATATGTAGAAGGAAGTGGAGATGGATTGGGTATACAGTGAGAAGGCCAACTGGGGACATCACGCGCCAGGCCAGTTGCTCGAGTGGGACCCAGATGGGAAGCGACGAATTGGGCGTCCGATGGGAGGGTGATATGGAGGAGATCGTGTGAGGAAGAAATGAAAGCTTCTATGCTATCGTGGAACCAGGTTCAAAAGTTTGCAGAGAAGAGAGTACACTGGAGACGTGCTACTGAAGCCCTATGTCCCATTAGGAACCCAAGGGATAAATAATAATAATAATATATATAAATGATAACACATAACTAATGCAGTTATTTAGCTGCTACAAAAAAAACCTATAACCACAAATAAAACATTTTCCAATGGTTCTCCGACTGATGTCATTCGGAGATGAATACTACCTTGAAATAAGTAAAATCGCTATTCCCCTCAAACTACATTACTGTATAGTGTTCATTAGTGACATGCTTCCAGATTGATATCCAGAAGTTCTTATGAGAAGCCGGAAGTGAAGTGAATACCAACTGAAGACCTTGCCGGATAGTCACGCTATATCGCGAATTGTAAGGAGTTGTAAACTGCGAACCAACGGACTCAGAACGGGTAACGCATATGTCGTGAAACCTGAAGGTCCTCAGTTCCATCCACAGCGGGACTAGGTGTTGGGTACGTACTGCTGAGGAGCCCCTTGCCAGGATGAAACAGGTGTCCAATGGTCCTCCAACTGATACCAGTCCGTGGTGAATAACACCTTAAACTTCATATAAGTTTAACCAAAAACACATGTATGAATAAAGTGAAAAACCATTACTTAAAAAATGAGTATTTTAGGAATAGAAAAAGCGTGAATAACCTGCGGCCACTGAGCAATTTCTAAAATTTTCCTTTTTGCTGTATCTCTAATACGTGATGAAGGATCACCAGTACGTTGGAAAATCACTGGAATCAACTTGTCCATACAGTAATATAAATCAGGTCGTGGAATAGAATATTTGTCAGCAAAATCAACAATTGTTGGTTTGAGAAATTTAGTAGCCAAACGAAATATTGACAAGACCTGAAGAAGAAGAAAATGCGAAACTAGTAAGTCACTCAGTTCTGTATGTATTTTGAGTATATATATTGTTGTTTGTAAGTGTGTACAGGGGACTATATGTAAGTAAAACAAACAGAAGAGCTAACAGAAGTTGGAAATATGGAGCATTGGATCCTGACCCAGTGGCTCAATGGTAACGTGCTGGCCGCGGAACCTGAGGGTCGCGGGTTCGATCCCTGCTGGTGGGGTCGTGGGTGCCCACTGCTGAGGAGTCCCATACTAGGACGAAACAGTGCTCCCAGGTTTCCTTTGTCCCTCCAACTGTTGTCAGTCTACAATGAATAACAACTTGAAACAGAAGATAAGTTGAATAGTGAAATGATTGTACTCTGAATTCACGAAACGAAGCATATAAAACAAATGATGGATTAAAAATGTGTAGCATTAGGACAACAATTACGAAAGAGAAACTATGAATGCCTTCTACATATATACACCTCATGTTTTGTCAACTGAAATGAATGAACTTATGTTATCCACCATGAAAGAGCTACTAACAAGTGATAAAAACCAGAGTGTTTCCCCATGGATACCCACTCTCACTTCTTTTATTTAAGTGCGTTGTAGATGTATTGATGGAGGCAATTCTAGTTGCCTCTGATTTCTCAGTTTGCTTTTAATTACCAACAAACCATCTGCCCAACTACAACATAATTAACAGATAACAATGCAATGTTAGGTGAAGACGCCGATCAAATACAGTCATTTGAACAGCATACGTGAAAATCTGTATTTGCTTGGCATGCACTATTCACCAATTAGATGTAGGATGATGCTGCAGGAGTGACTGATTGATCTGCATGGACTCTTAGTTTAAGAATACTAAGTGAAGGGGTAACCGCTTGCATCATGCATAAAGGATGAGCTCCCTTGGACATCTCAATGTGTCTGAGAATTCACTTGCTCCTGTGGAATAAGACTACTCAATGTTTCCTTCCAAACGCATTTTCGAACATATACCAGCCTATTTCCCCAAAAGAGAGCACCTCGTAGCTCCATTTTAAAACTTTTAATCGATGATGACCACTAGATGAATGAAGAAAATAACTTCATTGTCATCCGTACAGCTAGTGAAAGCCTCGTGAAAGGTGTATACCTGAAACTTCTTCAAACTGTGGAAGCAATGGACAAATAATATTTTGAAGCCTAAACTTTGCATTCAAAAGAAGTCTGTCCAGTTACGCGACTTGGTTTGGGCATGACCTATAACAACATTTTACCTTAAAAATATTTTCTTTCACACTTGCTAACGTTTTCTCAAACATGACATTCTTCCACCCTTAAAATCCTGATTTCTCATTACATTTATCAGTCGCTTCAACCACGTTACATAATTTAACTTATTATTATTATTTGCCCCTTGGGTTCCTGGTAGAACATAGAGTTTCACTAGTATGTCACCATTGCACTCTGTTCTCCCCAGTCTTTCCAACCTGACTCCACGACTGCCTACAAGCTTTCATTTCTTCCTCACACCATCTCCACCATGTCACCCTCGGACGCCCAACTCGTCGTTTCCCTTTTGGCTTCCACTCGAAGCCCTGGCCTATGATGTCTCCAAACGGTCTTCTCAGTGTATGCCCAATTCAATCCATCTCTACTTCCTTCTGCATATTTGTTGGGTGATAGGTGCTTGATTGGTTCGTTGTCAGAGAAAGTTCCTTGTTGCTTATTCTTTCTGGTTATCTGATCTTCAGTATCGACTGAGCGTATACAATTGTGGCCACTTCACTAAGTATTTATGAGTTCATCTGCTCCTGTAGAGCTGGTTACATAGGCTGTACTCAAACAGCTCTACCCATGCGCGCTCGTGAACATGTACCAGCTTGGCTAGGGAAAGGAATGACAAAGTCCACCAACAGTGAAGTCTTCTCGCATCTAGTAGATACTGGACATCCTATCAAGGTAGATCCCTCCTTTTCTGTGATATATCGTATCCCTTCTAAACTCCCCGACAGTGTACAACTATGCATCTTATCCACAGCCAAAACCATAAATATTAATGCAAGAAAACCTGATCTGTATGTTCAAAGAAATATGTACATCAACTTTGTCTACCTTGGTCCACGATAGGGTCATACCTTCACCGTTTGTCATCTTCAACCGTGACGTAACACTTCACATTTCGTTATTCTTTATTTTGTTGTTGTATACACACGATTCTCAACCTATATGAATATAATTTATCGCTACATAATGATTATTTGACCCTTAGTAAACAAACTCATATAGATATTCATGCCCCCAGATAAATAAATCATTATCTCTAGATTTTATCTCCTTATTTTGTAGTAATTCTGCTCATATTGATCTCATTGTACAACAAACACAGTAGATTGATGACTATTCCATATGATACAAATTTACATTCATTTAATTTGATCTCTACTTACCCTTAACACTGTTTCAATATTGAAATAAATCCATCCTACGAAAGACAAAATTAACTGTAGCGAAAATTATCAAGCACAATAAACTTAATGACTAAATGTAAATTACAGTTCTAATATACAAAGTTGATAGATAGACAACATTTTCAGTACCTGATCACCTAATGCTCGACGTAAAAGGAACGTGGTAGATCGGATTTCTGCCTTTGGATCAGGGTTAGATAAATCCGGGAGTGATACGGGAGGAGGAAGCTTTGGTGCAGTTACACGTTGTTCCAGTTCAAGAAGAGCTTTTTCACGAAAAACCCATGATTTGCTATAAGCTTTTGTGACCTGTGGATAGTAAAGTTAAAACGTAAGGCAATAACTGAACACAGAATAAATACGAAACAAAAATGAGTTAAATGATTATCACGTTGACTATCTGAGCCATGGTTTGATGCTGGGTGATGATTGGTAGAGCATAGGGTGAGAAGCTCAGTGATCGCTGGTTCGAACCCAGCCCCGACCTAAATTTTCATTTTACCTACAATCACCACCCAGCATCAATACCAGTCTGCCAAACCGCAGCTATCTCAGATAGTCAAAATGATAATCAGTACGACGCTCCCCTCTCATTCTAATTCAGTTAGATTTTGATAGGGATGAGAAGTCCTAACTAGGCAGTCAGTGTTAATATGACCAAGTGGTAGTACCGGGTTACGAATTCACATGGTAGTCAGGCGAAACCCTTGGTGACTGAAGTGAAGTAAAAATCTAGTCATCATTCGGACCCTGTAAGTCAGTTGCTAGAGCATCGGGCCGGAAACCCGATGGTCACTAGTTCGAATCCAGCCGCGGTCCAAATTTTCATTTCACCTTCAATTATCACCAAGTATGAATTAACTGACTCTACACTAGGTGAAAGTAATCACAGTTTCGAAAGTGTAAGTTTGGGTTGATATATAAATAAAACGCATTTTTGTGAACTTTACCAATTTAAGAGCATCTATTATCGTCCTCAATCTAGAGGAAAGCTGCTGTCAAATTATTTCAGTCAATAAACCCATGTCATGCAAATCGAAATACGATAAATATTTATCAAAAAGATTTCCTCTGGATTTTGGGGCTTTGTGGGGATTTAGAGATTTTTTTCAAGTTGGTACCCATCATGGGTTGACATCAGTTGTAAGGACACTGGAAACTTGGGAGCACTGGATAGCTTTTTCGTCCTATTATGGGACTCTTTAGCAGTGTGCACCAACGACCCCGCAACCTTTAGGTTCCGTGGCCAGTACGAAGTTGTAAATATGGACCATTGAATTCCGACCCAGTGGCTCAATGGTGACGTGCTGGCCACGGAACCTGAAGGTCGCGAAGTCGTGAGTGCGCACTGCTGAAGAGCCTCATACTAGGACGAAACAGTTGTCCAGTGCTCCCAGGTTTCCAAAGTTACTCCAACAGATGTCAGTTCATGATGAATACCAACTTGAAAAATTTCCACTGGGATTCCATCACTAAACAAGTACACTATGAACCAATGACCGAGTAAAAGACACAATGAAGCATAGTACAACCACAATTCAATTCAAATCACAGTACAATGTCACAGCAATTTTTTAATCCTATGAACTAACATGACATCATTTATATGAACTATGATCAATATTTGACCGAATAGTAGTATGGCAACTACCAGGCACTGAGTAAAAGGTTAACATTAGGAGCGCAAACTATGCTGAAAGCAGATTGTGAAAACCTCAGCAGCAGTTAACAAGCTAGAAAACAAATCGACAATGGCGTTACACTCCATTGAAATGGGCCACAAAATTGACTTCAACGGAACCAAGGTTTTACAAAAGGGTTTTGGGTCACACCAAGAAAGATTGACAAGCGAAGTCCAACATGTATAGACGAATCCTGAGAGTTTGAAGGGATGAGATGCAGTAAAGTTAGCTGCCTACTGACAATTACTAATGAGTAAACAGAAAGAGTGACTTTAGCACTTATCTTCATCACCAGTCTCAATTTTGTTATCTCTACAGCAGCCACAACACATAATCTGGATTGACTTGATTCATTGTTATTATTATCTTGAGTAGTATAATGACCATAGGTTCAAGGCCGAATTTACTAAAAAAGGTTTAGTGTGATGACAAATTGTTTTGAACACAAAATGGCGGCCTAAACCTCATTCTTCTCCTGATTATTCTTATCTTCACTTCCATCATTACTATCATTCATTCCGACTCTAATCTGATAAACCAATGAAAAATTCGTTAATACTATTCAGCCCCATATACCAACTGAAATACATACATATCCACCATACATGCCCCATTCCACTTATAAAATTTATACTGGATGATGATTGAAGGTGAAGTAGAGATTTGGAACGCGGCTGGATTCGAACCAGTGACCACCGGGTTCCCGGCTTGGTGGCTGTAGCTCAGTTGGTAGGGCACTGGGCCGGAAACCCAGTGGTCACTGGTTCGAATCCAGCCGCGTTCCAAATCTCTACTTCACCTTTAATCATCACCCAGTATAAATACTAGTCTGTCAAACCACGGCTCAGACAGTCAAAATGATAATTTACAAAATTACTGAGTGATTACAGTGTCACCTATGACCATTTTGTCTTTTACAATCAAGGAGAATAGGAATGATAACACACATTGGGCATATAATGAGACATACTACTTTACAGTGAATGGTTACTTATCATATTTTTGAAACACAATGACTATACGAAGAAGACTGAATAAGGAGATTTAATACACATCTATGGATTCACTTATATGTCCTTAATTTTTGTAATTTTGATTACTTCTTTGAAGAAGCTCAGACCAGACTTCCATGAGAAACACTGGAATTATTTTATTTCAAACATCCTGTGAATTGCTTAAATACAAACTATAACATGATATGATTTGGTTCACCAAAAGACTTTCCAATAGCGACGTTCAAGTTCATTAAAATGAATAAACGTATCACCTAGTTATTGAACTGAATGTTGTTGCTTATATTATCCCGTCGTTGAGTGGGCCGAATCGATCAGTCCCTCTTGTCACATGGGCTCCTGCGCGGATGTCTTGATACTGCTTGTGTTTCAGTTATACATTAACGATGGATAGTTGCTAGCAGCGGAATTCAGGACGCCCGCTTCGTCCTATTTGGGACTCGTCGGCTCGATATACCTGCCTCCCAGTGAGCGATGTTGTTCCCACTCGGTGGTCTAGTTGATAACGCTTTGACATTTGAAGCAATCGGTTCTGAATTCGAGTTTTAGTGAGAACAATATCACTCACTGGGAGGCAGGCATATTTAGCTGACGAGTCCCAAACAGGACGAAACGCGTGTCCTGGATTCCACTGCTAGCTACTATCCATCATTAGTAGTTACTAGATTATTGGTATATTGATAACACACTGGTAATAACGACCAAAATGATAACTTCTCGTGACGAATACCCCAGAAACAATATACATACACATGTGAAAACCAGAGGTAAATCAATTTGATAGATGTCAATAAACTAGCGTTCGAATAAATTTTGCAACAAATGGAACGTATCAACTAGTGAAATCAAGCTCCTATTAGTTGTTGATGAAAGTAACTAACTCTTAACTCAAGATTGTATTTTCAGTATAAGCAAATACTCTATTTTTTTCAAATAGTGATATGCTGCTGTGGTTATTCGACCACAGTAAAAGCGGCCATCAGTGACTGATAAAACCAACAAAGAACCTCGCACACAAGTCAGTCGATTCAAGTTGTCACACTTCACAGTAACACACCATAGAATAGACGGATTGAAAAGAAGTGATATCAAAGAAGATAAAGTAGTGTGAGAGAATTAACAATCTGAAGATAAATAAATGTTAGTGCGAATATTCAAGTTTTAGATGTCAAGGAGTGAATATATCTGCGCCACTGTCATCGACTTTCAGCCATGTCACCAAGAGTCAGTCCTCAACCACTGATTCCTTTCGTTTCGGGGACCCTAACCAAGCAATCTACATCTCCCCATACGACTCAGACCAACAGGAAGAGACTTCGTTGACTGGTGCCATGTTTTGGTCCGTCCATTGTGAACCCTCTTCCAACCTAATCCAGTTCCCCCCAGCACTTCACATCGAAAACAATAATGAGCTTTTCAGGTAAGATTATGATTATGACAAGATTCTTTTTACATAAAAACCCAACTTTTCAGCTACGTAATATGTAATGAAAACATCAACTGATGAAAAAACACCTTGGGGAACGAAAAGCATGATTTTATAAAGAATACTAGGAAAATCATCGAATCACATGCAACTTTCACAAAAACTAGTTTTCCGATCCAGCAGTGATAGGCGACTATTTTATCAAAAAGATAATTTTGTAAAGAAACACCTGTCAGCACCCTGATAAAAAGACAGGCCAATATTGAACTACAGCTCATATACCTCTTAGTTATTCATGTTAACTAAGTAGTTACTTCTTACACTACGTGTCAGTAATAGAAATGAATGTGAATTCTGTGAAATCGTACAACTTAACAATCAATTATAGACCATAATGACCTCATCGTTTCTCATTTCTATGCTTTTGGTGGTAATTACCAAGGTAATTATGGAAAACAAAAGCAACACACCCAACAAAATCATTTTAGACATGCGATCCTATCTGATTAACCTACATTCGGTCTATTCTCTTAACAAAATTAGAATGTGAATTAAGCAAGTAAAACAATTTCGAAACACTATATATATATATATATATATATATATATATATATATATATATCCATAAAAAGTGGTTGTTCTTACAAGATTAATTCCAACAACATCAATGGCTACAACAGCTTGACGTCGATTGGTTTCACTCATTGGTTCAGGAAGATCAATAACACCAGTTGGTAAAGTTTCGCCATTTTCAAGCATACGTTCATAAGATGCTTGTTCCAAGTACTTCATAGTATGCTCATCGTCATAAGAATCGATATCCCTATGATCATGTTCAATTGCGTTGACAAGTACATGTTCAGAATGTTGTAAATCATCACAAACATCATGATGACCTGGGACTGAAAAATCTAATGTATATTGTTCTTCATCGATTGCACGTAGTGCTGCACTGTTATCTCTAACTTTGCTTTTAAGAGCTGGTAAAGGACGTTCATCAGGATCAATTAAAGGATGTGCCCGACGAAATGGGAAGTAATCAGTCGTTTGATTATTATTATTTTTATTGTTAGTATTATATGATTCATCGCTACGCCAATTTCCATTTGGGTCATCTGCTGTTAGCAGACTCTGAAAACGTATTGGTGGCATACGATTCACTAAAAATGAAAGAACGCAATATTTCATGAAATATTCTACGGAATTACAGGTAAGAAACATTTGAATTGATATCCTTCTATGGGTGTTGAGAAAAATGGGGGTGCGGATTTATAATACGAGTTTTCAAAAGAATAATAAAAGTAAAACAATGAAACTGTGTAATACCAACATCTTTTGGATCTTCACTGATAATATGCATAAAATTAGAAAAAAATGAACCCATTTCTAATTTTCATTTAAACTGGATCAGTATGTCATCGGTACTATGCTTTAGTTCCTTATAAGTTAAACTGATTTGCTTTGCCAAGCCTTCAGTAATTTACAGCAAACGCTTCCTGATACCCTTCGGAAGACTACATTGTACTTTGCGGATTACTATAAATGAATTTTCTGAAACTATTTCCCACTGTCAACTAAATGCTGTAATATGGAGCTGAAGATCGATTTGGACTGAACTTTACGGGGTCATGTAGGAAGATATTGGTGTGGATGTTGAACAATCTATCTCTGTGTACAGCCTACGTACCTAACTCCACAAGAGCAAATGAACTGATATATGCACACATATGCAAGTGTCTAGGAGTGGCAGTTTATCTTGCGTAGAGGTGTTTACCACTGGGCAACTAGTATGGGTGATTTGCAGAGTGGTTGTATAGAATGCGATTATGCAACGTCTGTGAATAATATCACCGAAAACAAATTTTGCTGAAGTTTTTCAAATATAACTAATTTCCCCAGTAATCCTAATATGCTTTCTAAATGCATAAAAAACAAGCACAAAACCTTGATAATATTGTTTAGACCAAAAGTATTGCACCATCTATCTTAGTGTTATTCTAAACCACAGCTGCTACCTTGGTATGGTGGTCAAGCTTGCCTATCAAAAAGATAGACCTAAGTTATACTGGTTGGAACTCTTTTTTGAGGTGTTCCCTTCTTTAATGGCTGAATTTAATTTCAACTTTATAATTCTCTAATCTAAACACTATAAAGTAATGAGATTCTAGCACGATGTTGCACTGCTAATTGTACATTGATCGGTCACTGAAGCGTAAACAACTTCATGTCTATTTCTAAGTGCTTATCGGATTATATCGATCTTTTTGCAATTTGGCAACTGGACTGAGCAGCTCAGAGTCATCATGCACCTTGATAGATGTTAGCTAAATGAAGGCAATCAGCAGGAACCCCTGGACCTATGTTCCGTGCTTTTTGGCACTCGTCAGCAAGGCGTATCTGCAACCTCGTCGGAACTGACGTCCCGTCTAGGATTCAAACCCGCGTCACCCTAACCCACGATCCTGCGCTCCCTAGTCTGGTGGCCACATTTCAAAATGATTGATAGACTCTGATAAGCACTTTGAACTAGATAGCATGAAATTAGTTACCAGCCAGTGACCCAATCAATATATCCAATCCAATCCTACAGGAGGTCAGTCACGACCCAAATAGCTCAGTGATAACTTCTCTGGCTGCAGCACTGAGCGACACCGATTCGAATCTCAGGAGGAATATCAGTTCTAGATACGTATTGCTGACCAGTGCCAAAAAGCAAGCAACCTTGATCCAGGACTTCCTGTCGATTGCCTCCATCTAACACCGCTGACTATATTGAGCAGGACAGCAGTAAGATGTTTCCCGAACATGACTGATATTTTAACCTAACGCTACCGTTCTTATATCAAAAGGAGGAATCAGAATAGATCAAATCTAAAACTAGCAGACTCCCTGCCCCACCGCATTTATTCGCAGAGCTAAGGATTTCCTGTCTACCGTCACGACCTCAGATTAATTAAGTCATCCTTACTAATTCTTTTTCTTTTTCAAGTACCTCAAAGAAAGTACATTTCCATGATCTGGGGAGCTAGGAAGCGTCAACCATATTCACGCATCTATCAGAGCTCGACTTCCTTCTGATAAGCATCAACCTTCCTCCTTGTTGAATTCTAAATTCTCCCGTCTTTCTGATGATAACTCTACACCACTGACGATTACTTCTAACTCTACAGTATGCAACAATGAATCAAGTTTACGATATAATGTATTCGGTCTTTTGAAACCATTCTGCAAACAGCATTTCACTACTTTTAATGCCCCACTCCTTCGTAAAATAAGAAGTTAGACCCCACTGACCGAAACTCACATCCTTGACAACAGATAAATGTTATGTTTGTCCTACAAACGTAGATCCAAGGGTGATCATTAAGACAAAGTGTACTGTTTGACTGAATCTCAGTTGACAGTCGTCTGTGCAGTACACAGTAAGAATTTAAAACGATACTGGAATACACCAATGGCTTTTTTTAATCTCTGCTTACATGCCCACTGACTGCATCTCAGATTAACTGATGTCCATAGGTGGTCCTCATGGTAGACAACTTCAATACATAGGTAGGAAGGTTAAGCAAGCTATAAAGGGACTTATTTGGCACGCTTGGGATCCTAATCGGAAGAACAGGTAAGGCTCAAACAACCAAACATTTCTAACTAACACAAGTTCCAGATATAGAAAAAGACCTTGTCTGACATTGTCTACCAACCTCACCCCAACAGTGAATATACGTGTGCCGCATTGCTATCAATCATCGCTAGAAAAGGTTGATGGAAGGTTGTAGCTCCTTCCAGAGAACGTGCCCAGACAGTAATCATGCAGTAGTTTGAGCAGGCGACTGCAAATGAGTAGGAATAGTACAAGTTAAAAACCATTCCGAGTGGGCCTCAATGATGAGGATACTAAAGCTGTAAAGATATAAACTGATTAGACAGTTATCAGGAAGCGTAAATGTTAACTATCCTGACAAAACCTCATGCTATTCCTAATCTTCTGGAAAAAAGGGATGAAAAATAAAGATGACACTTTCTGAGGGTTAGAGAAAAACTTTTCATACTGTCCAATCATCAAACCAGATAACAGTTACCCAAAAGAAATAAAAGTAGTAATGACAGACTGTCTGGCAACAAAACTTAAGGGAAATTCCAACAAGGCTTTCTTTCTCATCAGACAGTTGATCAAATGAATAATCGGCAAACAAGTAACCTATAACTATTGTAACTGGTGGGCAATTTTTTAAACACAACTAACACAGAAAATGTTGGTAAGTGAAGGCAACTTCAAAAGTTTTAACCGAGCTAATACAACACTATATTATTGATGTCAACAACCAAACCACAAAAAAGTACGCTTCATATGATATGACTTCTCTGTTCAACAGTACAACTCTCCTTGAGATAACAGACATCATTTGCCAATAAAGATATCCCATTGCCAAAAGCAGAAATGAACTGTCTCCTGTTTTCGTACACTAAAGATATTTAATCCCAGTTCACTGGCACCACATATAAGCAAGTTGACGATGTGTCTATGGGACGTCTTCTATGACCAGGAATGATAGACATCACATTTTTACATTTAGAAAACATCACTCTCAAACTTGCAATAGATAAAACCATGTTTCATTCGAGAGGTGTTGACAATACCTTTATTATCCATATAAACGTTGAACAAGTAAGGAAGCTGTCTTAAAGTTTCAACAATGTGCATCATACTACGTTTACGATAGAATGTGGAGAGAAGCAGTAGCCTAATTTTCTTAACTTATGTTTGCGACATAATGAAGACGATACGATAGAGAGGAGTATTCATCTCAAAAGCATAAGGAGCGGTCAGTACTTAAACTATAACAGCTTCTGCCCAGTGAGGACATTATACCAGAGGGCAGGGAGATTATATTCCCAATAAAAAAAATGCAGGAGGAATGTCGACTTCATTTTTGTCTCTTTATTAGAAATTCCACACAGTGGAATTACAATCTACCACAGTGCTCTGGCTTTACTTATATACCAAGAATTTCAAACAATTGAACACAACAATGGTTATCCGATGAAGTTCGTGCAGAAGTACTACAAAGGTAAGAAGAGAGGGAAGTATATTATTATTGTTGGAAAGAAACCAGTGTTTCTTAATTTGATTTCAAAGATGATGTTGAGACAAGAATCAATAGGTGCATTAGGAGTGTAATGACCAGGACCTACCCAGCTGTGAGACTTGTCCCACTGTATTAAACAACATGTGCGATTACACAATCCAAATTAGACAAAGTTTCAACTTCTGTTAACGCCAACTGTATTTATCAATTCACGTGTAAATGCAGTAGCAAGTACGTAGGAAGAACAGAGAGGCAGTTGGTTGCCTACCAGGATCGCCTAGCATATGCCAAGGAGCCTACGTCTCAGAGATCCATTCCTTGTTCAACAGTCCAATAACTCGTCACTTATATGATACGCGATAAAATCCTTCATAGTAGTCAACAGACAAAAGACCTCGCAACTACTTCGAATTGCCGAGGTCGTCACTATCCGACAAGTTCAACCGGAACTGTGTGTTCAAAAGGAGACAGCTACCAACTGGTTATAGCCCCGCTAATTAGTGACTTTTTACCCTCTCTTCTGTGCCAAAATATTTCTAACATATTTATTTAGTGCTTATTCATATCCATATCAATATTTAATAGCGTCTCATTATTACTGTATCTGTTATGACTATGGTAGTTTTGTTTCAACCATTTATCATCTTGTTAACATAATATTTTCCCATGATTACCCAACCCCTTCTACTCACTTCCAATCTTATCTCACTCATTCGTGAACATTACTCAACTTGCTTTATGTAGTTTGACCGAATTTATAACTTGAACTTCCTTTGTGTCCTGAATTATAGTGTCTTCCAGATCTTTAGAACATAAATCAGTATCTTAAAAACGCTTCATATAAAATGTGTTAATATTTGATAAAGCGATTATTTACTTATGCATCTGAATAAAATCCTATGAAATACAAATGACGTCACCTTATCCTGCAAACAGTGTTCCGTTGTATTATTCAAGTTAATAAAGGGGATTAAAGGCTAGATATCTGTCAAAAGCATCGATTAACAACAGTGTATTACATGTGAAGGCATTCAAGTATAACTGATAAGTACAAATCATTTATGTAATAAAATACACTTACTCTTGTTTCGTTCATTAATCTAAAAATAATAAGATAGTATAGTTAAATTAAATATAACACAACATGAAAATAATACACACATCAGTTTATACCATCAAAAACTTACTGTATCATTAAATGAACTCTCAATTCGACCAAAACTTTGTTGATTTTCTGCTACATTAGTGGACAATAATCTAACTAAATCAATATCTCTATACAAATTGGTACGAATTTCACTCATTTCATTCTTTTTCAAGTTAGCTTCTTCATAGTTCTCTTTTTCGACGGCTTGTTGTTTTTCAAGTGCTAGTCTACCAAGACGTTCACCAACCTAAAATTATATTTTAAAACATGATTTGTGCGTAAGATATAATTTGGTAATGTGTGTGAAACTTCACATGTATATGGACAGGGGAGGGAATATTGGAATGACCACTGCATATGGTCACACAGATGTATGAAACCAAAATAAAGCAACATAAAAAGCGGCTAGACCTTGAAAAGTAAATAAAACAAGTGCATGGTTGTGGTTGATGGACTAATTTGAAGGCTGGTGTAATGTGAAGCCCTCAAAGATTGTAAAGCATTGAGTAGCTCTTTCACTTTAACCGGTAACCCCTAACCACCAGATATAAATGCGGTGCTTCTACACCTCTAGACAGACAGTACCTCCAAGCCACGGGAGAAGTATATAATGTACATCCATTACTTGCTTCAGTTAATTCATGAGAGAGTCCATGTTAGGTGGTTAGAGACAATCGACAGCAAACCTTGAAGTTGTTAAATGCTTGTGAGCACGCTCAAACAAGGTACATCTGCAGCCTTGAGGGAACTGACACATTCTTAGAGACTCAAACATACTACATCGAGTGCAACAGACAGAAACTTCACTACTGAGCTGTTCGGGAAAGAAATAATCTACTACAGGGTTGGATTAAATACACTAACTGGACCCTGGAAGGTAAACAATATCATGTTATCTAGTGCTGACTAAATTCTATCCACAAATTTGTTTTTGACCAGTCTTCAACAACTCTGACAGTTACCAGCTCTTACCCTCGACTTACTGATGTCTTAAAGTTATGAACTTGATCAGAAAAAAAGATAGCGTGTTATTACTGCACTAAAGAAAAAAACAGATGCATAGTTTACTGCTCTCTTAATAGTCCTTTTAAGTGTTTGTTTTTCACGATGAGAACAGGTCCGAAAATCAAACATGTTTATATAGGCAGAATTATGATTAAAACAACATCCGTAGGAACCTATTCTAGTAAATCAGTCCATGAGGCACCATTTTGTTCTTAGATTACTAATGAAGCTGACAAAGTAGCTTAGACAACGAAAAGACTTACATAAACTTTTGTTTATTGTTTGGTATAATACACTGATTGAACGCGTGTAATTCTCCACAAATGGATAACATTTTATAAATTATCCCCTGGACCAACTAAACTTATGGTTTTACTTTATTTTTCTCACTGGTAGCCTTTTCGCTGACTTGCAAACGTCGCGGCTAGTTCAACCTAGCTACATCCACTTGGCAAAGTATGTTGTTTCCATGCAAACAATAGCATAACGATAATAGCTATTATGAAAAAATAAGGATCTAAATATACATGGCTTAGGAAAGAAACAATAACATGATAAAATTTCTTGTGGAAACAAATAAAAATAACGCAGCCAAAAGATGCTACTTGTAGGAAATTCCACTTGAAATTATAGTTCACATCTGAGATCAAAAAATATGTTACAGAAACTATAAAAATTGGAAAGATGCACCGTATATTATTGCATATACGACCTCATAAAAACAAAAATCTTAGTCACATTTTTTACAAACTAGATATCAAGTAGTCAATATCCCTTTAAGCTGCACTAAAACCATATTCAGGAGAATTCTTCAACATTTTTAGCTACATAACGTTTAGTTCAAGTCTGCTTTTAACTAACCTGTTGTAGTTGAGCTATGGCATCCCTCATACTTTGTGCTTGATCAAAACGTTCAGCTGGAAAACGAAGCGAAAACAAAAAATCCATCATACGATAAATTGTTTCTAAACTTTCACACAGACAGAACAACAAAAAAAGAAAATGCTTCACTAATTATGCGAAACCTTTGCGGATAAATTATAATCGTGTTTCCTTTTTCTATGATATACCTTCTATGCATGATTCAGACACTAATTCAATACTCAAAGAGTATTGTGTTAGAACAGTCAACCAGTCAATGACAAAATGCCACCTGGTTCAAGTTGTCATAACTCAGATTAGCACGTTCAGACAGAATGCAGCAAGACAAGAAAATCAACAGGAAGGAAATGGCATCATAAAAAGTAGAAGAAAGGCGTAGGAGTAGAAGAAGAGGGGATAAAAGCAAATGACAAAATGTGATATTACATTCAGGATGAAGATAAGATGTGGATGCATTTCTGCAAGGGAGATCGATTTTGAACCATACATAAGCGAGAATGTACAACCATCAGTTTTGGACTTCTTGTGAACCTCAACCTGGAAGCCTACACCTCCTTACAGGGCTCCTATTAACAGTCACAGACTTCATGGATTGACGCGCAAGCTGTAACAGATTATATTCAAACACTTCCAATTTCACGATGCGTAGAGCTACTACTACTTCGCTAAAATCATGATCAACCACCAACTGAACTACTTTACATTCCAAGTGGCATAGTGACTGAAATATCTAGATGATCGTTGTACTTTATTTCGTTTTTCTCTTGATATATATATATATATATATATATATATATATATATATATATATATATTTCAAACAGTCCAAATAGAGAGAACCAATTGAAAACCCTTCTGGCGTGCTCTTAAATTCACCAAATACTTCATACCAGTAGATCAATGTAACAAAAAAAAGGTACACTACAGCACTCATTAAAAGTTGGCTCATTGAGACACTAGCTCTATAGAATTGCGTTACAATTTCCTGTGGACAGACAAAATCAGTTGGAATAGTATCATGACAAATCAGATATTAGCAGTCCCTTATAAAGCGTCATGGAGAAAAGACAATTCGCGTGTTAACGAGAGGCATATACAACTGACAATTGATTACGTCATAACAACCACACCCTACGGCACTGATCGCTAATCATAAAATGAAATCTCGGGTAAAAATAAATATCTCTGAAAACACCATTCATTTGGGGAAATGTCGTAGATAAAATTGGATAAGGAAACAACCAGTTAACCACTGCATTAGCAATAAAGATTCTCGAAAAGTGGGATGAAACGCCACCTTGTGTACACCCATGTAAAAAGCGGCGAGAGACACATCTTGTGTGAGGGCTGCTGATACTACGTAGCTGTAAAAACCTAGATAGTTAAGGCCGGGTTCGAGCCCCAATCCACTGGTTGACAGTCACCTCTCTAAACCACCGAGATGTAGAATAAAAACCAAGTAAACAAAAGTTAGGATTATGATGAAAGATAGTGTACTATTACTCAATTCATTAGTAGGAACCCATTAGCTGAATAGTAAAGGATAAATAGGAACAGCGGATAGTTACAACTTAACAGGTTACTCCTCATACGTCAAAGTTGTACAAACATTGATTTTACAGACGACATAATGAGAAGACGAAGATTGTTTAAAATATTTGACATATGCACGTTCTACATTATCTTCAAAATAATTTTCATGTCTTCGCAGAACTGTTTAGATTTATTAAGGTAATACATAGTTCACGTTCTTGGTATTACCATTCCATAGACATATTCCTTGGCTGTTTACACGATAATTACTAATATAAATTTTGCTGTAAAAGGTTTATTCATCTTTTAACTTTGTGTTAGTTGGATAGTAGAGATTTACTGGGTTTGCAGTTTCATGATTCACTCATCTAAGTGTATAAATCAATATTTGCTGTTAACATAACACAAAATGTTGACGTTATTCTTGGCTTTTGCTTAGTTGGGGGCGGAAATAAGAAAATCAGTAACCTATTAACCATACGCAGTGAAGCGAAAAATGATTTGTCGTTAAAGAGTTCATCCAATCAAAACTAATGAGAACCGGACTGCAACCATTAAAACTTATATTTAGTTAGAAAGTTAGAAACAAAATTTAGAAAAATATACAGGCTATGTTTAAGAGTGTTGTAGCGCCAGATAATCCGCCAAAATCAATAGCCCAGGGTTCGACGAGATTAAACACTAATGTTGACTTCCACAGTTTTAACAAACTAACTAGGCTGAAAGTACACGGTCAGGAATCCACGCCATATGGCAAATTGTCGCACTAAGTTGCGTTGCGTTGCTTGTACGCGGTTCTCTATGCAGTTTGTCGGAAGGCATAGGTATTTGAGCACGGTTTATCATATATACTACTCCCACCTGGCTACCCTATTGTTTTTCCTTCGTATTGCACCCGTGGGTACATTACAAGTACGAATATTCATTGATTGGCATCTGCCTCTGTCATTTTCGCGCAGGAGCAATTCTCAAAGTACCAATTATAATAGAAACCTTAGTTATTAATCTTCAGTTTTATAACATTTCTCTGATTTGATTTCATTTCTTTATATTTCAACATTATATGAAATCTCTGCAGTTTACGAACTGATTAAAATAACAGAAAACAAACAATACATACCCATAACAGCAATACGCTTTTGTTTTTCTAATCTCCTTATTATATTAGCAACTTCAGGGTCCTGATACATATCAAACGCTAAGTCTTCTGTGGGAGGTATATAATCTGTGCTAGTAAAGCAGAAATGAACAGTCAATAAAAATTTGTCACAATAACTGCGTACAAACACTAAGATAAAAAAGATCACGTAATTATTAAAATAAATAAAGAGATCACATTTTTGACTACAGCAAAAACGTTAAACTGAACAAGTTATTTGAAAAGTAAAGTGATAATCACCGTCACCTTCACAGCATAGGTCGTGTCTTGGCGTCCTCACGTTTGTAGCCTGGGAGTCAGATGTAGAGTTTTAAGCAGAAGTGGTGAGTCGGTCGAAGATATTGTGACTCGGGTGGCTGGGACATGCGTAATGCATGCCAAGTCACCTCATGACTCGTCGTACAATGCGAGATGAGGTAAGTTAAAGCTACGAAAAGTTAGACGCGCCTAGAGTAAAATTCGCATCAGTCTCTAATTGATATGACCAGAGTAGGGGAAAAGAAACTTTATGAAATCCCCTATGGTTTTCTACACTGATGATGTAAAACTCTGGCGGGAAACTAGGAATGATGAGGATATACGTGCACTTCAAGCAGACCTGAACAGCTTGTTTACCTGATCAGAGAAGTGGCTGCTGCCTATCAATGCAAGTAAATGTGTGAGCATGCACTTGGAGCACACACCGTAACATCTACGATATTGATGGAACTTCTTTACCATCATTACTGACCCACAATGGCCTAGGAGTTACGGTGAGTTATGACTTGAAAACCACGGCTCACTGTCGGTTGGTAGTAGCTCGGAGTTTTAAGACTCTCTTGGCATTACGTAGAACGTTTACGAAAATAAGTGGTGACATATTCACCATCTTATACACATCCTTTGTTAGATCTAAATTAGAAAACTGTACGCAGGAGGCTAATTCTTGTCCGAAAGGTGACGCAGACCTTCTAGAAAGAGTTCAGAGGGCAGCCACTCGTATGATCCCTGCAATGGCTGGCCTCACCTATGAAGACCGACTTGAGGAGCTGAACCTCTTCACTTTTTCCTATCGCAGACAGAAGGGAGACCCAATCATTCTACACAGAATTCTAAGAAATGACTTCAAACCTGATCTATCTCTTTTCCTTCCCACTAGGTCGGAACACCTCAGAGGACATAGTGGGAAACTATAAAAACAAAGAACGAACATAGTCTCCTCAGAGTACTGGTTCTCGCGTCGAGTAATCAACGCCTGGAACCGACTACCAGAAGAAGTGGTGTCCGCACCATCAATTGACCCGTTGAAAAGGGAATTGGACAAGCACAGAAATCTACTGGGAGAGGATTAATATAAGCTCCTAGCCTCCTATCCCCAAACAACAAATCTGAATCTGGTTGGGATCAGTGCGACGACAGAAACCGGTGGTTTGAGACTTTAGACGATATGGCTTAGAACCTATTGCAGTGCCACAGATGTATCTACATATTATTTTTGTCTTAGTTATCATACTGAATTTCATTAATTTCACTTCTCTTTGTTCTGTGTTCACTTCTTATCACTTTTGACTACGTTCTCCTTAGTCCTTCAACCTCTGTATTAGTATATTCTTGCTTCATGTGCTGATGACGTGTGGCAACTTAAATCATTTCGCAGTAATTCCAGGCTCCATGTTGACTGACTAACTGACGAACTAGATAATTGTGTAAAGAATTTGAATCATAATTTGTCCATGGATGCTAATATTTTCTGTCGCATTCAGTTAACTCTGAATGGAGAAGAGACATTATCTTAAAATACTTAAAGGCAGTAGCGTATTTACCTTCATTTATACATTTACAAATTACCTTAGAAAAAGATAGTCGATGCAAAAATGAGTCACTCAAAGGGACCCGAACACAAAAATAGCTAGGATAATCGTAAGTTTCACTTCAGAACACTGGTTATTGTAGGTTGAAATTTTAAAAACCTATTTAAGGAAGATGACTGGAATAGGACATAAGAGATTAGCTAACCCTATAAGTTGTGATATATATCCATCTGATTGCCTACTGTTAGCGGAAAGCGTAGTGGAAAATGTTGAAGTAAATCCTCATATTGTGTTAGTTTTGTTCACTGAGGGTATATTCAATACTATATCATACAAGACCCGAGAAATGACCATCATCATGCCCTATGTATATGAAATGAAGAAGAGATCACATCTAAACAAAATAAAGAGGGGTACAAAATCAGTACAAAGAGATATGCGTTCTTTCGTAAGAAGGCAAACCAATCTAAAATATAAACACTGTGTTCTAGTGTAAAATTTTATGAATTTTTTTCATAAGCGTTTGAGCTAAATAAAAAAGTCAGTTTTCTCTCGCTAGAATGAGTTCAATATCACTGATAAGTAGCCACTTACTTATGAACAACTGGAGGAAAGTCTTCAGGATCAGAGAGTGGGTTCCTGTTGATGAAATCACCAATTATATTGATAGCAACAATTCCAACCTGAATAATAAATATAAGTGATTTTTCAGCAATACCTGACTATATAGATTTAAACTATTTGAATGGTTTTTATGCAGAAATAGTTGAATGTAAGATCCAGATGCATCAAGATGTACTGACTTTAGTTCCCTAGCTTTAAACTCTGTTGCCTGATTGTCGGAAAGGGCCACATATCTGAAATTTCGTCAAAAACCTAAAATGAAGTAACTCACCCTAGCCTACTAAAATTGGCGTTTTTGAAGTGCTTGATTTCATCATCTGGTGTATCTCCCACAAAAAACTCGATCTTCGAGGCTGAAATACAAATTAAAAATGGCTTCATGGGCAGACCTATCAAGTATTGATGACATAGTACTTGTATTTTTCGAAAATTGGCCCTTCCTTCTAGTGCCAAGATCAGCTGTTGTGGGTATGCACAAAATCTAGTTGAAACCCATCCTTTAGTTGCTGGGTGGTGATGGTTTAGCTCTGTAGCAGGAAAATTTTCATCTTGACTAGACACATATACTACACGAAAAGGTAGTTTTTGTGGCATCTTCCGATAACCTCCTGCACCCAAAAACAAACAGTGCGCGAACACCCTCAACTCTCATTGGAGAAACAGTTTACATAACCTGAGCAACTAGGACCAGCGACTCAAACAAACAAACAAGCAGATACATAGAAAGGTTTTAGTGAGTGAAAATATCTCAAGTGATAGATCGGTGAAACTGAATATAAATCCCTATGTCCTCTACAGATTTCTTGTCTATGTGCACAAACTTAGTGACATCTATATATCTAACCACTCCTGTGGAGGTAGTTACATCGATAGAGTGACTCAGCAAGCCAACCATCCCTTTACTGAGTTTGGTTAAACAAGGAAACGGAGAAATCAACCAAAAGTCCAATGCTCGTCCATCTAGTAGGTACTGAGCATAAGACTGAAAATCTTAGCATTTACTATTATTTACAAAGTCCCATAACAATAGTCGAAGTTTGTGCGCCCTAGATTGCTAAGCTTAGCAGGAGCCGTGACAATTATAACTTTCGAACCTACTTTATGTATTCAGAAGATCTTTGTTCTTTCTATTTCTCTCCCATGACCACCTTCGACCCAGATAAAATTAACACTACATCCCTTCCCCGGCCAACCTGATAAATGTAAATGTTATCTCTATTGGCACTCTTATAACATTCATTTTCTTTTTCACCCTTCGTTACATAATTGATCAAAAGCTTTAGCACTTTTCATCTAATCACTATGCGACAGTAATCCTGTCCCCCTTCTTCCCTGCACACATACAATTCAATCACACACCTGCAGGGACTGGCTACCGAGAATATATAAACTTCCTGAGATTTTTTTGTTCTAACCACTTTTACTGTTATCTGCCAATTCATATGCCCGAACTAATAAAACCACTTTGGTATCAGATGACTATGCTGTATAATTTGTAAATGTAAAGCCTGACAAGAATTTACCGAAAATGCTCTCTCTTCTAACAGGCGTCCACACATCCAGTAGGCAACACACTTTACAAACTAGTGTCAGGCAACCGATCCCATTCTGCTCGTCTCTTATGGATTAGTTACAGGTCACTAATGGATTCCGATGTAGTATGTCTACCCACCTGCTGGTTGTAGCTCCGTACAGCACGATGGAAGTACCACAAACTTTCATCAACCTCATTCAACAGCTATATGCTGAGCTAAATGACGGGTAATTCACAATGGAAACCTTAGTGACACCTTTGAAGTGAAGTGAAGACAGGAGTAAGTCAAGGTTGCTGCCCACTATCACCCATGATCTTCTTGACTGTGGTGGACTGGATTACCCAACACACTGTAAAGAGCAGGAAGAGGGCATTCACTGCACCGATGATTTGGATTTCGCGGATCATGATTTATGTCTAACGGCCCGCAAACTCGAAGATTTACAGACAAAAACCAACAAGTTGACGGAAAGGATAGTGAAGACGGGACTTTGAGTGAGTGTAGAGAAGACAGATTCGGTAAAGATACCCAACAAACAACAGTAACAAGCTCCAATCACCATCAACGGGAGAAACCTAAAGAAAGTAGTCTCTTAAACCTACCTAGGTTGGGTAGCTTCGTTTCAACTACAGGTGACACAAATGACGACGTCAAAGCCAGTCAGGATAGGAAAGACAGCAAGACAGGCCTTCATTATTCCAAAAATAGTGTGGAGATCTACTGTACTCAGCATAAAGAACAAGACCCGGATTTTGAACACCAATTCAGTCAAGTCAGTGCTTCTGTATGGTTCAGAAACTTGGCGCGTCACGAAAAGCATTTCCAACAAACTGCAGACATTCATCAATAGCTGCCTATGCTCGATTCGGAAGATCAAATCAGAAGACTAGAAAGAATTAGCAACAAGGAACTCACTCTGGCTGGTAACGAACCAACCAAGAACCTATCGTTCAGCAAGCATGCAGAAGAAAGTGGAGGTGGAATGGATTTGGGGTACGCTGAGAAGACCGAGTGAGGACATCATACGCCAGGTCGTCGAGTGGAACCTGTATGGGAAACGACGAGCTGGCCGTTGGAGTCGAGTGTGGCATGGAGGAGATCGTGTGAGAAGGAAATGGAAGCTTCTGGGCAGTCGTGGAGCCAGGTTGAGAAGACTGTAGAGAAGAGAGTGCAGTGGAGACGTGCCACTGAAGCTTTGCTCCACCAGGAGCCAGAAGGACAAATAGTAATCATAAAATTGGCCCGGTGGGAGATTGGGTGTTGATTCAGTTCGTAGACAATGGGTGATTTTTGCGAGGATTGTGGAGCAGATGTGTTGCCTAAGTTTGATACCACCAGCTAGTTGTTCGGGCCGCTGTTGACGGAAGACAAAAATGGTGAGCAGGTGTTCATCGAAAACGGCGAGAAGTAAGAAAAAAGAAGTTGAAGAGAAGTAGAACTCGAGTAAACGAGAGACCTAGGTAGATCAAGGGGAGGCAAAAGCGACTGGAAGTTTTCAATAAATGGAGTTAAAACATAGAATCAGGGGGAATTGTGAGCAGGTAAGATTTCAGGATGGATTATGAGAATGAAAATAGTGATGTTATTATGAGGAACGGGGTAACTGTAAGAAACGCCTGACAGTGAGACATAAAATTAAGTCAGGTTCTCGATGGTAGTGGTGGTACAAGAAATTTGGTGTGAAGTTAGCTGTGCTTGATCGTGTGGAACTATTTGGTTGCATCCACCCAACCCGTATCCTAGCTGGATGAGCGCAAGGCATGTAGCACTGTGCAGCTAACCAACCTGCTCTTGAAGCTGTTGACGATGGAGCAGTAGCAATCTCGACAAGCAATGCACTCCAGGAGCTGCAAACCTCGCAGGGCGAATACATGTAAACTTACAAGGGTTTTCGCCGTCTGATGGGCAGTTCTTATATAGAAGCTGTGGTCTTTCATGGTTAAAATGGTTGAGCCACATGCCAACGATGCATATTTAACAACCGCATATTAGGATTTTCCTTTCAAAAAATTTTGCCTTCTTTAAATCAGCGTGAGACTCAGTTGGAGAAATGCAAGGCGTCTTCCCAGACAGTTTGGTTCCGGTGAAAGCTGGGTGGACTACCGGATAGAATGTAGTCACTTCCCAAACTTAAGCGGCGTCTGACCCCAAACAAACTACGAGTTACGACAACAAGTTGGATAACGATAGGTAAGCAGATGAGGTCAGCCGTCTGGATAGAAGGAAAATATTCACTGGCCGAAACTTTGAACTTAGAAGTGGCGATGTTTCTCGTTGTACGTGTCAGTTGTGATCATGATAAGCAGTCTCCAGCACACTCACCAATGAATTCAGTAAAATGTCCCCGTTTAGAGCCCATGCATCTCCCATGCTCCAAAATGTTCGACAATCTGATTAACTTACGGCAAAGCTTACCAGAGTTAATTAAATCCAAGTCTGATGGCATGCTTTTATATTGTCAACTTTAGGTTCGTCGAATGTAGGAATGGTGGGTATATGAAGCATCAGAAAAGTTTGCAAATCATACGATGTCTACTTGAAGGGAAACGGAATGTTGCGCTTGGGTCCCATCATACTTGAAAAATTTCCGCTCGACCTCTGTGCCTTAATTTCCATCAAGTCTTGTCAGTACTCCGCTTGTTTTCTATTGCTGAGTTACGCGTAATTTCTAGAATGTGCCAAAACCGACCCAAGTAATTTTTGGTTTTAGGCTGGAAGAGTGTGGCGGTATTAAGCAACTTGTTCCTAGTGAAAAACAATTAGATTTTACTTCTGGTGATGCAGAACATCACAAAATCGTGGACATGTTTGGCGTTTTTATTCATGAGTTTTATGTTTGTAAAATGCAACTGTTGATCTATTTGTGGCAAACAATGATTAATTAGGTCGCACAGCATTATGTTGACCAAGTAGTTCTCCACGGAGACATTTAATAACAGCGCAGGACATGGAAGCCAGCGGCTGGCATGAACACGAAAACAGCTGAGCAAGATGATCAGTTTGAGACTGCCTTGTATTTACACATATGCATCCCTGTATATGCCATTTTCGATACCAGTAATTTAGATCTAATGTCCAGAATATACTAAGCATACAAACTACAGCTACTTCTCACGTCGTTAGGTTGCTATAATCTGCCTTTTGCATACAGGGTGCAAGCTGTAAAGGTTCTGATTTATCAGGGAGCCCTGCGTTGCCGGAGCGACAGCGAGCCGCTTGGATCTTGCGAGCTGGGAATGCTATTTTCATCCGAACCAGGCAGAGGACCTAGCATGCGGAGGAGATAAGTGACACTCCAGTACATATGACCGTCATACAACAAACAGGGTGCCCAGGGGTTATGTCCACGAGGTCCCGCTGCCTTCTGCGGTTTGTGAAGGACGAGTGCATCAGTCGTTGACAGGTGCAGACGCATTTCAGTTGTGAAAACGAGAGGCGTACCAGCCAGACCATTGGGGATTTCCATCCCTCGGATGGGTAGAAGACAAAAAGACACATGCAAGAAAATACCAGTGGCCGAGCGATGAGGGGGTGTTCTGCATTAGGAACGTGAGTGTGCCTTGCTGCATGTCTGCGCTCCTTGTCTCACCTCCTATTGTAGGTCCGTCCGAATTATCTCACTCCATTCACAAGAAAAGACAACTGGCGTCGTAGCTTCTGGAAAAGGAGACGAAAAGAATTTGGCCGACGATGGTCAGCATCTTCGAGACGCTCAAACATTCAGACACGCCTGGTCACGTCGGCCATCCTCCCGATGGACCTCCGTAGTTTCGCCGCGAGGATTCGTGTGTGTTCATTTGCTCAGGATGCCGGAGTCATACTACCAGAAGTATGGCGTGATATAGTGGTGGCATTACTTTGCAGACTATAAACGCCGAAGTGTTTGTGTAGTTGACCTTGTTGGCAGTTACGAGGGAATTATGCAAATAAACAGCAAGTTAATGACTCAAAAGCTGTCTTCTGGTGTTGCTCTGGGCCAGGGCGCTCGTCGTTGATATTGTCTGGCTCTGTGATCGTTGTAGCAACAACGAAGTGCCACGACTGCACTGAAAACTTACTGGACTTCCTTGAGGACCGACTGCACATCTTCAAACCTACTTGTAGGAATGGAAAAGTAAGTAGGGTACTTCTGAGTTACAACTGATGAACT